AGAGCGTCTTTTGTATTTTCTAGCTCTCCCAGCAGCACCCTGAAATGTCATGGGCCCTCTCCTGCAACTTAAATATACTGAGATTTGTGTCTCCTGGAGTATCACAAAAACCATGCTATGGAAGATATAGACATCTTGGCCTTTTCATGAATCCAACATGGACAGTAAGGAAACACCAGCCTACGAAGTCAAGAAAAACTTACTCAGATGTGACAAACGCATGATCCTTGATGGCCTGCACCACATCATCAAATTTGATTTTTGTTGTCCGAGTCCATCCATGATAAATTATCGGTTTCCCATCAGGACCATCCCAGCAATCCACTAATGAGCACAGCAGGAGGGGAAAAAATAGAGGCAAGTTAATTATTTAAACAACTCCAATGTATAGAGCACAACTCTATCTAGTGCCTCCAAGTGCTCTATACAATCCATCATATACTTTTATATTCTGTTAAAATGCTCCTTGAGATGGACTGATGTCCCTTACAGAGAAGATTAAGTTTGTTTAAGTATCAAACACAGAACATCTCACAGATTTTTCAACGGTTAGAAACCAGGAAACAAGGGGCATTCTTACACATGTAAGCACCACAGCGTCGGGCAATTTGTAAAGCACCCAGCACGGCAATGCTTGCAGTTGTATAAGCGGCAAAATGCACATCAGCACTGAGAAAACGGCGGCAGCATGGTTTTGAACTAAAATACCTGGGAGGTGCTTTAGTTCAAAAGCGCACCAGCACCATGGTCTGTGCGCTGCCCTGCATTTCGCTGCTCATACAACTGCACGCAGCGCAGCGCAGCGCAGCGCAGTTCGCCTCAGCTCGCCTGCAGTGCAGCGGATCTCCAGCATGTTGCGGGAAAAAAGTATGTGTATAAATGCCCAAGGAGTTTAGACAGTTGTTTAGACTGTTTACCACCTATATTCACAAGTAGTAAATCTGCTCCTACAATTTGGAAGATTCTCCATTTACAGCTTATCCCAGTTCTCATGTCGGTACTTAAGACAGATGCTCAGTTACCAGATTAATAACTATAGCACGGGGCCTCTTGTAACTATGGGGGAGAGAGAGAAAGAGAGGCTGATCAGCCAGTAGCAAGATAACTTCTGAACACTGCTGAGCAGTGCCTGGCCAAACAACCCACATAAAATACCATAAAGTGTGGAGAAACCCTTCAGAGGATATCCTTGTAGTTACTGGAGAAATTAATTTTATAGACTCTTAGCTGGGCTGACACTATTTTCTGTGTGGTACCAGTACAAACACAGAGGGGCTGCAACCTGGTGCCCATGAAACAACTGTCCATCAGCGTAACTGCATCAATTAGCTGCAAACCTTCATCATAAATGTTCGTCATAAATGTATTTACTGGGGCTTAAACTGTTTGCTTTCATTTGCTAACTGTGACAATTTGTCACTGGTGTATACCCTGAGCTAGGTGTAAAAAGGGCTAGTTAGACTTCCAAGGAAAGAAAAAGAGCAAGTGTACAGTGCAACAGATGGGCATT